CCGTACAAGTTCTCATATGTCCTGAGTCTTAATTGACCTTAGAAGGGTAGGGCCAAAATATTGGCTTTCCTTGTAGCCCTCCTTTTTCTCTAATTTTGTTTCTTCCTACTTTTCTTGCCATTTCTGTTTCTGGACTATTATGCATAATTCTCCATGCCAACTTCAATTTATTATGGTGCAAACATCCGAAGTAACAGCATATTTTTACCTGTTTTCATTGTTCTTATTCCAAATGTCTGAGGTATAGATTCGTTCTTTTATTTGTATAATTGTTGTCTTCTCAAATTCTTTCATGTTTGTATTCTTGTAGATTTCCAGATCATACTGTATGCTTCTAAAATAAACAATGACATGAATTTGAAGTGTATCCTCTGGGCCAGGGATGTAGCTCAGTGGCACAGTGCCTGCCCGAAGTGTATCTTCTGGACCAATGGTGGAAGGATTGTCTAGGAACCTGTCAGAAATTGTATACAGATTCTTACATTTAATTCCATACTTACTGAACTAGAAATTTCAAGAATGGAGCCCAGAAATCTGCATTTTATCAAGTTCTCTGAGTGATTATGATCTAAAGTTTGAGAACCACTAATACAGATATTAATTGAAAGCAGTATCGAAAAAAAATGCTTCTACATTATTTTGAATTTTTGCAATACCTCCTGTATTCCTAGATTCCATGAGTTTTAGGTTTATTGACCTCTTTTTTTGATATTTAGAAGCAATCTGTTAAAATATATGAGAAATGGTTGTCTACCTGCTTGCATGCATTTATTTTTCATGTCATCTATAAAATTATGTTGTTTTTACATTTCAATATATAACTCTTTTTTTTCTTTTTTTGAGGCTGAGTCTTGCTGTGTAATGTAGGCTGGCCTTCAACTTGCTTTTATAGCCCAGACTGGCTTCAAACTCATAGTAATCCTCCCAAGTGATGAGATTATAGACTTGCACCACCATGCCTCAGCTTAAATATGTAATTCTTATTAAATTTTTTCATTAGTATTCTAAATGTATAATATCTCAATTTATTTTCTCATTGGTTATAATGTATTACCTGATCACCAGGAAATTTCAGAGTTAAGGTACAATAAAATGAAAACGTAGAGGCTCCAAGAAATCTTGTCAACCATTTTGGGCTACATTGTCTTTATTAGACAGTGGTTTTGAAATGTTTTTCTCACATGAATGACTTGAACAAGACAAAAATTATCTGAATTTTATCCTATGAATTTATCATACATAAACTCTTAGAGTGGTTGTAGCACAGTAGTTTGGAACTGAAAAAAAACCAAAAATTATATATACATTTTAGGTACGTTTAACACGAATGCCAGAATACCATTATACACAGACACTGTCTCCATTATCATGGCATATTAGAGGACTTCCTCTGCATGGTTTTATGTGTATATATTCTTTTTTGCATTAAAGTTTCTAGATGCTTCCAGTACTTGATTTGTACATTGAGATTTTAAAAAATGGGACTGCCATTGGTGAGAGGACAGGCCTGAGCATTTAGCTGTCTTTACCCTATTCAATCACTGAGAATTGAAGTGAAAAACAGCTCAACACACTGGTAACCCATAAACAATCCCCAGTACCATATTTATGAAACTATATACAAAGATATAAACTCAAAAGTATGATTCTTATATCATATAGTATCTTTAGCATCATTATATGTATATTAATTTATTGTTTCTGCTAATAATTTGTGACAGTTTCTATTTATCTGACAACATCATGGCTAATATGAGTTCCCTATGCTTAATGTTTTACCAGTCTGGTGATTATGAGCTGTAATCTCATTTTAAATTAAAATTTTCTTCAGTACTAAAGAGATTAGCTATCTCATCATATTTGTATTGCCATTTGGATGGTCTTCTCTGAATTGCCTGGTAATCATTTTTGCCCATTTTTCTATTGTATTGCTTCTAGTTTTAAGATCCAACCCATCTCATCTTAAAAGTTGCCTAAAGACACACTCACATTGGCAAATGGGTATGATCTTATCTACCCAGGAGTCCAAGATAGATCCATAAGTAGAGGCAAATTTGAGGTTTAACCAAGACAATTTAATGAGACATGCCTTATAAAAAAATGAAAAATCTAAAGATATAGCTCAGTACTAGGTTTTGTCTCTGAGTTCACTTCTCAGTACCACTGCAAAAAATAGAAAATAAAGTTGCCTCTAATGATTTATTTTAAGAAGAAACCTTTAAGGGTGTGTCAGCCAGCTTTCTGTCACAAAATTCATCAGTTAAGAGAGTTATAAAGAAAAAAAGCTTATTTTGGCTTAAAGATTTTAGGGTTCCAGCCCATGATCAGGCAAACCCATTGCTTTCAGGCCTCTGGTGGGCATGTTGGATGGTGAAGATGAGTATGTGGTAGAACAAACTCCTCATCTCATTGCCAGGTAGCAAAAATGGCAGGGACTGAGACCCCACAGTCTCCTTTAAAAGCATCCCCTAGTGACCTAAGGACCTCTGCAAGGCCCCTCCTCCAAAGGTCCTTTAACACATGGGCCTTTGGGGATATTCAGCATCCAAACAATAGCAAAGGGTGAAAAGAGTTTTCTATAGGTAAGCAATTGAAAGTTATTTTTTAATTAGTAATATAGAGGAAATTAGTGACTTTAGTTTTTTACTACTAGGTAGGTTTACTCTGTAAGATAATTTTCTAGAACAGAGGCTTTCAATTTTGGTTGCACATTGGAATCATTGGAGAGTTTTTTAAAAGATACTAATGCCGGGGCTGGGAAGATGGCTCAGTAGAATAAGCACTTGCCTGGCAAGAGCAAGGGCCTGAGTTCAATCCCCGGTTCCACCAAAAAAAAAAAAAAAGATACTAATGCCAAGGTCCTATTCCAGTGATTTTTAGTATGTTTGCCCTGGGGTGCAACTTGAGCATTGAAATTATCATTCCAGAAGTTTATTTGACAGTAATGCTCTAGGTTGAAACTGGTAATAATGTTTTTGTAGTGGGAACGATTGGGACAAAAACATAATGTAATTTTCTTTGTATGACCTCGTGAGCCTCTTAAATATTTTTAATATCCATAAATTGTTTAAAAAACTTTAAAGAAATGTAATTGCCATTGATCAATTAAGCAGAATTGATGTCTATCCACTACTTCATCCAACAACAACAGAATCCATATTCTTCTGAAGCTCACATATAGCATTCACACGATAGACCACATTTTGAACTGTAAATCACACCTTAACATATTTAAAAGAATACAAAAAATAAAATGTCTACTCTCAAGCTTCAGTCAAACTAACCCAAGAAATCAGTATCAGAAAGGTAACTGGGAAATCCCCAAATATGTATTTATATAATACTTCTAAATAATCCATGAGTTTAAAAAAATCAAGAGAAATTAGAAAGTATGAAAACAAAAATATTACTTATCAAAATCTGTGGGAAATAGCAAAGACATG